TTCAATATGACTAAATGGATCCAAACGAACCTCGCATTGGATCTATTTTAGGAATTGGATCTATTTCAGCCAATCATAGGTATATATATATATATATAGATTATATATATATATATATTATAAATATATGTGTGTGGGTTTTATAATTACTGGGAATAGGAGCCTCGACGACCCGCCGATACTGGTCTTTTATTACTATACGGAATACCATATATATCTTCTTAATTATATGTCTACATATATATATATATATGTAGCCCTTATAATTATATGTATTTTTCTATATATATATATATATATATATATATATATATATATTTATATTTATATCGGAACAGATCATCGACGTGCTCGCTGCCTGGGCTGCATGGGATTCAATCACCGATCAAGCTATATAGCCTATGCTAGGGTTGAGGTATTTGGAATTATTTGTATATATACATGGGCTATTATATGGTATTTTCCCATATATATATAATATAGGGCCATAGCACGTCCTGCCGGATTGGATCCCCTGGCCTATAGTCTTGTGTTCATGAACACGTACTAGCTACGACTACAATATGCCGCACTGCCGCCCGACATCGAGGAAATAGGATCCGAACGAGCGCGAGAGGCTCAACGAGCCATTATATGGCTCCCATTATATTTGGATCTAAATCAGCTAGATTGGATCTAAATAAGCTAAATTGGATCTAAATCAACTAAATTGGATCTAAATCAGCTAGATTGGATCTAAATCAGCTAGATTGGATCTAAATCAATGAAATGGATCTATCTTAGCTAACTCTACAAAACCCAACATACGCCGATGAGGTCCGGTGCTGTTATAAGAGCAGTCAAGAATGAGGTCCGGTGGGAAAGCCGGGCCGATGAGCCACCCGATGAGCCCCCCGATGAGGCACCCGAGGCTACCCGATGATGTCCGGTGGTGATAAGAGAGGCTAGAGCAATGAGGTCCGGAGGGATACACCCGATGAGCCCCCCGATGATGCCCCGATGATGGTATGATGATGCCTTTGGAGCTGATTTGGTGCTGCATGTACACTAGTTTCGTCTCATACAGGATGCACATATGCATATATAGCTTTCTAACGAGGATCCAGCTTCACGCAAATGCTACAATCTCGAGCTGGAGAAGCTTTTCTACTAGTGTAGTGCTCGAAACCGGGCCAACCACGTGATCCTTAGATTCCTTTAGACGCCCATTAGTATGGCTGGCATCGAAGACGCAGCTGCTACCCTCGTCGTGGCAACTGATCCCTCCCAACAGGAGACCCAAACTTTGGTGGTGCCGGATAGCACCAGCGACGGGACTCCTGGTGCTTCCCACGCCGAACAGCTGCAGGATGGCCGCTCCAGCGAGCAGCCACCGGCCGATGGTGCTTCCACCGCAGCACCTGGGCAAGCAGCTGCTGGTGCAGGTGCCGATGACCAAGGTGTGCGAGATGTGCAAAAGGCCATCGTGAACTTCGCTAGCCACCACAAGCTAGATGTACATGCAGTCAGCAAGGAGCAGGTGATCCAGTCTCCGGAAGGAATTATCTATTGGGCTACGCAACAGGAAGATGTTTCGGCCAGAAGCCCGCATGCTCAAAGCATGAAGCGAGCTTTCAAGTGGCGGCCCGACATGGGTGCCGCTTACATGGTACTCACCGATGCCATGAAGGTCGAGTTTCGTCGTGGTCGGGCAGCCACGAAGTCTTTCGACTTCGTGACAAGTCGTCGCACGACGTCTACGAGCTTTCGTCGTCGCCGTGACGAAGTCGGCAAGTTTGTCACCAAGCTGCAACTGGAGAACATCCTCGGCGGCTGCCAGCAGCCCGAGGCAGTGAGGCAAGCAGAGCGGTACATCTCCATGTGCAAGCGACCTGGGCTCAAGGACGAGTGTTTCTCAACTTCGTGGTCCCACGCCCCAAGCTCTATGATTAAACCACTGCCCCAAACTTGTACTGAACCCTAGACCCCAAACCCTGAACCCTAAACCCTATATATAAACCTCTAGCCTAACTTCCGACGTACCTTCAGCTTCAAGCCTGAAGCTGCTTCTGAAGCTTCAAACCCTTTGTGATTTTTGAGGGCTAGGGTTAGGGGTTGTCATGGTGTAGTGCATCGGAGTCGGGTTTGTGGTTCTCTGGTTTCATGCATTATTGGGGCCCTGGTGTTTGTCTTGAACGCAGGACTTCTGCACCCTGTACAATGACTGGCTGGATACCGAGACCTACTTTTGGGTAGAGACCCTCATCTCCTCCAGCAACGAGCAGCAGTGGACCAACACGGTGACAACTGAGACTACGGATTCAGTGCCCAACAGCACAGCATAGCCGAGAAGGTGGTTGTATGCAAAGCCCTCCGTGCCTATGCTCACCAGATGAAGAAGCCCCTTGCACAGGTGCAGCAGGAGGACGTCGAAAAGAGTACGTTGGGTGTCAAGGGCTACGCCGAGCTTTACGCCAGCATGCCTCCGGAAGTCAAAACAAGTTTCCCGAGGATGGATGGCAGCAACAACCCCAGCTTCAACAAGAAGGGAAATGATGCTGTTACAGAAGGCAAAGCCAGGAGAGCCCAGAAGCAAGCCGCCGCCGCCGCCGGTGGTGACAGTGACGAGCAAAACAAGCCCGACAACGGCAGCCCCGGTGGTCCTGAGCCAGCTCCCAAAAAGGCCAAGAAGGACCAGACGGGCCCCAAGAAGGAGAAGGAGGTCTAGGAGTTCCTGGCTATGGAGCAGAGCTCAGACGTGGCGATCGGCCGCATCATGGCCGAAGTGGCAAAAAACCCGGAGAGCTGGTCTTGGGCTACTGACCTCCTCGCTACGTACAAGAAGTCCCGTGCAGAGGTGCTCAAGCTTTACTGCGATGTCCCGGGCTTCCAAAGCCTGAAGATTGCAGCCCTCAGCGAGTGCCAAGCTGATGAGGGCGAGCCTTGGGAGATCATTTTGGACTCCGGGGCTGACGCCTCTATGGTGCCAGAGTCCCTGCGACACCTGGGCCAGGATGCCAACGACCGCGTCCCTCACCTTACCGACGCCCAGGGGAACTCCATCGCCAGCCGGGGGATGAAGAAGTACGAGTTCCTTCTTGAGGACACCAACGGCCAGCAGTACCTCATCCGGGAAACGTGTGTGGTTGGCCCGGTGCGCTCTCCTTTGCTGGCCGTGGGAAAACTTCTGAGAAAAGGCTGGCAACTTACTTCGCCAGGAGGACCTGGGCACCTGCACTTGGAGGAGCCCTTTGGAAGGAAAACCCCAGTGGGGTACAAGAACCACAGCCTGGTGGTGCGAGGCCACATTCGGGCCCTCACCGAGGTCCCGCGGACTTTGCCCCCGAAGGTGCCGGAGGTGATGCTTCCCGACTTTATGCAGGAGCACGTGGGCACCGAGGGCATGCACACTCTTGAGAACGGCTGGCGGATGCACTACAGCAAGGAGGCCAAGCAGCTTCTTGATGGACGCGAGTGGTTCGATGGGGACTACTGGTGCTGCCGGACCACTTTTCTGCAGACTGCGAGCGGGAAGTGGTTGCAGGTGGAGAACAGCGCCGACTATACCTACGAGGCCAACCCCTACGGCACCGTGTCCATCTACCCTGTAGCTCGGGTGACTTTGTTCAGCAGAAAGAACTCGGCGATAGCTACTTGGGCAAGCTCGTGGAGTACATCACTTTGGCCGGGCCACTAATCCAGAAGATGGCCGAGGCTGCCTTTGCTGTTGAGAATATGGCAGACGCTAAGCTTCAGGCTGCCGAGAGTTTGAAGAGCCCTACTGCTAACAAGCCGAAGGCTAAGGCAAAGGGTAAGGCTGGTCTGAAACGCACCTTTTCGGCCAGGTCTTTGCCGTCTGTGTAAGCTTCGCCAGTTTGTATGGCAAGGGTGCAAAGCATCAGCTGTTCGGTCGCAGGCTTAGGATGAAGCTTGGAGCCTCGTTATCTGTCCTTATATATCAGGTTAGAGTTTAGTTGGGGTCTAAGGTTTAGGCTTAGGGTCGAGGGGTTATTTGGGTTCGTTGGGGTTAAAGTTTAAGCTTTCGGTTTTGGGTTTTCGGCTTTAGGTCTTGGCCTATCTAGAATCTGTACTTTGGATCAAAGAAACCTAAACCCCGAGCCCAGAATCCCGCGACCTTTCGAGCCGAGCTGCTGTTTCGATCCTGGTGCTCCGATACGATACATCGTGGTACGTCCTGATTGCTTTCACCCCCAGCTACCGTAGATCCCGCTTAGATTCCTATAACCTTAATATAGGTGAACTTTGTCAGTCTCAATCAGCCTGTGTCGGGAGCTTGGGCCCAAATGGTCCTCTGATTCTGTGCCTAGGGTTGGGAGCGAGGCTTCAGGCTTTAAGGGCCACGGCTCTCTCTAAAGACGACTATTCCATGAGCTGTTAGAAGATGAAAGACGGCTTGTGATCGAACTCTGCTGCTTTCTGGGTTCTCCAGATTATCTTACGATAATTCGGAGTTTGCTGAGGACTTTTGGGGAGCTTGGCAACAAGCCAGCGGAAACCTCAATGCCGCTCTGAGCTTCTTGTGTCGCAACAAATAAGGGGTGCTTTCCGCTTCAAGTTTGTGCACCAATCCACGGCGAGACGTGTTCACGCGAGCTGTTGCAAGTTGCACCTGCAGGTCCACGTATTGTGCATGGCAGTGATTGATGCAATTATCTGTGTGAGCCAGTGCTGTAGGTCTGAGTGCGAGGTATCCCAGGCAAGATGTTTCCCGAGTCGTGCAGTCAGGGCATCATGTGAGCAGATTTTGGGAGACGCTGCAGGGTTTGGGGCCGAAGATCTTCTGTGAAGTTCTAGTTTCTGCGCCGATTAGATCAAACAGTGCTGCTACAATCACAATGATCGAGTTTAGATCCTATCGTCAAACCTAGAACCGAAACCCTCCTCCGAAATCCCCAATCCCGACCCCAACGTTTAAAGGCCCTGAACTCCTAAACCCGCCGTTTACAGTGATGTTCGCAGCTCCTGCCCGATGCAGCTGCTGATCGCACGCCCTCGGCTGGATGTCTCTGAAACGAGCACGGGCCCAGCTTTCGGGTTCTGGCTATGGGCTTGAAGACTTCTGGGTTGATGAAGATGACAAAGCTGCTTCAGCCGCTGCTGGTGCTAAGTTTAGAAGCTTTCTTCTGGAAAGATACACCGAGGGCACGTTTACTGCAACCGACACTTGCCTTCTGGCCTACTACCATACCGAAAGTGGGGGTGAAGGTGCCGAAGATCTAGCCCTAGCACCAGACCAAGCCTCGACTCATGGATCCGAACACTTGAAGTGCCTCAAGCTGCAATTGATTCTCCAAAACACCTATTAGAAATGTCTAAACAAACCCCACCCTAAAACCCAAGCTAACAAGCATTTCTATTATTATCGTGGTGATGAATATTCCTCCCAGATCTAGTTCCGGATGAAACCGAAAACAACACCACATTCTGTAAGGTACCACCTTCGAAAGGAGTTTCCGGAACCTCGTGTACAGTGGGTTACAGTTCCTATGAATACGAAGACCCAGCTTGTCAGGACTCCCATGAAGCACCCGGTTCGTGTTGCCTCCGATATGATTCGTGATGAGCTGAAAGCCTTGAACCTGCTAGGGAATTCAAATCCTTGCAAAGAAACTGTGGCTACGTTCCTTGAGAATGATACAGCTCTCGGCGACCGGTACGAGAAGCACCCCGTCACAGTGCAAGCCCTGAACGAAGGGATTCCCCGAGAACGTATTGTGCCTTTGTCTGTGTACTTTGACGGTGTCCAGTACACCAAGAACGAGAATTTTTTGGTATTTTATTTTACGAATCTACGGACTCCAAAACAACAACGATTGGTATGGCTGCTGAGTGCCTTGCTCTCCAATAATATAATCGCTTTTAGGGTTTATAGGTAGGGCTTACGGTATCCAGGGTTCAAGTATCCAGGGTTCAAGGGCCCAATCGAGTCCGAATGATATGGTTATTTTGGCAGGACTCTCGGATTTATGCCAATGCGGCTGCCGGGGCTGGTGCTCCGTGTGGCCACTCCTGGAAGCTTTCCGGGAGGGTGTTTCTTCCAGGCATGAAGATCTACGTTTGGCCGTTCTTGACTTTAAGGCGGATTGGCCTGCCTTAATTGAAATCTGCGGTTTGAGGACCTGGAGTCATAAATCACACTGTTGCCCCTGCTGCACGTGCCCATTAGAGTCACTAGAGCAGCTCACTGAAGTGGGCAACTGGACCTTGGGTACGTGCCCGTATCCATTATTTGATTCTGCAGCAATGAACCAGTATATCAGCGAGAAATTCAAGGCGGGTGGTTTCAGGGTTTGCTAGAGTCCTTTTATGCAACTGCTGCGGAGTCTTAAGCCCTGAATCCTATATATGTTGAACCCTATAAACCCTCAATCCCTATACAGGAAGTCACCATCGCCGACGCCGAAACCCAGCAGAAGATCTACAGGCTCTTGGTGTATCGCCGCAAAACACGGGGCCGAACCCTGAAAGCTGCTTTCCCTGCTCTGGGCCTCCCGAGACGCAGCCGCGTGGAGCCGTCAGCTGCATTGCCTGATGTTGGGCTTTTCGAGAGTCTCGAGACTCCCTTTACTTGCAAGTTTTATATTGGCGGTGAGCATGGAAGGGTCTTACACGACAGCCCTTTTCTTCGGATTCCTGGTGTCAGTCTTGAATCATGGAATATTGATCTTCTTCACACCTGGCATTTTGGGCCAGTGTCTGTCTGCATCGCTGTGACTTTGAGAAAGTTATTGACGGAGACGGACATTTGGAAACCTTCAATTGTGGAGCTAGACAAGGAAGAGCTCAGCAAACTTTCTTTGCTCTGCTTGAGAGCTGAGCTGCAGACTCACTACAGGCTGCGACGGCAAAGTGACCCAGAATGGTCCAAGAAGGGCTCGGAGGCACCTCACGTGTCCAAACCTTGATTTTTGAACTTGAATCAACAACTTGAACAGTTTTGTTAGTTTCGAAGCATAAAAGTTGTCGGTGCCAGCCCCAAACCGAGGTCTGGAACCTCACTGCCTCGGACACTTCTCTCCCCTCCGAGGTCCGTGCGTTTTGCGACAAGGCCCTCGCAGGGTCCACCTCCTTAGCCGACCTTCGGGCTGAGGGCACCACCCTCCTTTGCCAGCTCCGACGCACTCAAACTGCCCAACAGGCAGACCAATACGCCGAGTGGCTAGAAGAGGCCACTGGCTCACACCTCGGTCCACTCTTCCGGGCCATCAAGTCCCACGAACTGGTGCTCGAACGTCCCTTCCAGGACTGTGATGGGCTTCGCCGCGTCTTTGAGCGGCATGAGCACTGGGCGCGTGTGTGGCACGGCTCGGTCTTCCCTCAGCCCTTCTCGCACCCTCTCCTCGCGGAACTCCGCTCGAGGGCTGTTTCTCACGCCAGTTCCCTGGCTCCTCTCACCGTGCCAGACCTTCAAAAGCTGCTCAAGAAGGGCGGTAAAAAGAAAGGGGGACCTGACGGCTGGAGTTACCCAGCCCTTCGCGCCTTGGATCCGGCTGCTCTTCAGCTTGTAGCCGACTTCCTCGCCCGCGCTGAGGCTGAGGTGCTCCTCCCTTTCCAGCTCACCTGCGCCCTTCTTCCGAAGTCGGCCGACAAGGAGCGGCCTATCAGTCTCCTCCCTTGTCTGTGGAGGTTGTGGGCCCGAGCCAGGTGGAAGGACGTCGCGACCTGGACGTCGGCGTACTCTCACGACCACCCGTGGGACCGCGCTGTCCCGGGCCAGGCTAGCAAGACTCACATCGTGAGTCTTTTCCTTGACCTGAGAGGCTTCTTCGATTCGGTGAGCTACGAGCGCCTCCTCCTTCAAGGCCTAGCTCACCGTTTCCCTCCTCTCCACCTTTGGTTCGCCCTCCAGGTCTACCAAGGCCCTCGTTGCCTCGTTGCCGACTCGATCGCAGCCACGCCAATTTTTCCTGGCCGGGGCGTCCCCCAGGGGTGCCCTCTCGCACCCTCCCTTTCCAAACTCACCATGTCCGAGCCGCTCAAAAAGGTCGCTGCTATTCCCTCCGTCACTAACACCGATCTTTGGCTTGACGACGTGAGTTTGGACGTTGTTGGTCCTGACCCAGTCCAGGTAGCCTCTGCTGCCCTTCAGGCCTACCGGGTCCTTCACTCCTCCCTCGGCCTTGAAGGCCTCGAGGTCGAGACGACCAAGACTAAGTTTGTTGCTGGTACGGTGCGCGCTCGCGCCGCACTTAACCAGCTCCGGCGCCCGGGGGAACCTGAAACCGCAGACCTCGTTAAGGACCTTGGGCTTGACTGCGCTGCCGGCAGGAGAAGGCGCATCACCACTGCGCAAAAGCGCTTCCGTACCGGCATTGGCCGTGTTCGGCACATGCGCCGCCTCCGCATCCGCCGACGGTGGGTTCGTGGCCGCCTGCTCCAGGCTTCCGCCCTTAAGGCTGGCCTTTATGGTCACCGGGCCATGGGAGTCGCCCCCAAACGCCTCAAGTTCCTGCGGGCCGCTGTCGCTCGCGAAGCCGGCCGTTTTGAACACGGCTCCGCCGACACCATCCTCGACCTCATGTCCCACAAGGTCGTCGACCCTCACCAGCTTGTTGTTGTGGAGCAGCTCCAGGCGCTTGGGCGCCTCGCCTCTACCGCCTACCGCCTTCCCAGAAGGCGTAAACCTTCTCCGCCGCACGTGGACCTCCTCCTGGTCCAGGCCTCCGCGACGCACGGGTGGAAGATCGTTAATGGCCCCGTTTCGGCCCTCATCCAATACTTCCTGGATTTGCGGGTGTCGGCTCCCACACCGGACACTTGGACACACCGTGGGGAAACCTTCCACTTTCGCTTCCAAGAACCGGGTGCGGTCTTCGAGGCCTCCGCTTTCCTCCGGCAGGTCATCCAGCTTGAGCGCTGGTCCCGCATCGGCGCCGTCTCCACCGCCGTTGGAGCCTCCTCTGGCATCGATTGGACCGTGCCGCGCCGCCTCGTAGCCAGTCCTCGGACTAAACCCTGGACAAGGCACAATCCTTCACTCTGGCAACGGCAGCAAGGACCAGTGCAAATTCTGCGGGCAGCCCAACACACTGCACCATCTCCTCTATGAGTGCGAGCGTGTGCCTGGCGCCCTCATGCCTTCCGGCTGGTTGAAGCGGCGCCATCCAGCTGAATGCCTGTGGCTGCGAGGGGTGGCAGGAGCTGGCAAAAGACCCGACATAGTGCCGAGGACTGTCAAGTCGTTTTGCTGCCTGCTGGCGACAACAACGGCCCAGCCGACCGACCGAAGGCGACTGTCCTTCGTGGCTGGTCCGCCCGAAGCGTCCGTAGCGACGAAGAGCCCTGAGGCCGGTACGACGGACCTCAGCCTCGTGGGCGAGGCGGACGCGAGGCGCGAGAGGCCGTGCCGGAGGGCGAGAGTGAGGCTATCGCCCAGGCTCTCCTCTCTTCCCGTGGCACCTTTGACCTCACTTGCGATTGCCGGCCCGCCCTTCGCAGTCTCCAGGGCCCCTTCACCAAGCGCACCCCGCTTGTTTGGTCCAAGGCGTGGGATCACAGGCACAGGGTTGACCCACACTGGGTCCGTTCCCACCTCAGTGTCCCGGATTTCTGCTTGGAATTCGGAGCTGACGCTCTGTGGCGTCATGAGCTGAATATCCTCGCCGACAAGCTCGCTGGGGCTCGAGCTGAGGAGGTTCAAACCCCTCACCGCCTTGCCGCTCAAAAAGAGGTTGATAGAGTTACCTCTCTCCTCTGCGAGTACTTGGGACGTCGCGGTGCCGCGATACTTGCCCAGGCGGAGAAGGAGGACTTTGTCCCGCGGAAGAACCGCCTTCTTTCCGCCCTTGATACCTCCGCATCTCCCTCGCCCAACAAGAGGCAGAGGTTGCAGGCCTTACTCGACGAACCCCCTCAACCTGGAGGGCACGTCTGGTCTCGCACGTCTCGGGACAAAAGTTTCAACATGTGCCTTAAGTGTTCCGAGTGCTCTCTCAGCATCTACCAGGTCGACCCCCCGGACACCTTTGAGCGCCTTATTTCCTTCCCGTGCCGTACGGCT